GAGTTGATAACCAGCTTCGTAGGAACGCTTAGCGGCATCGCGTTTGTTAGGGTTAGTTAAGCCGGGTAAATGAAACATATCCAGGGTCTGTTGAACTGGCTTCGTCGTACAGGGCACTGGAGGCAGTAACGTGTAACTCAGCAGAATCTGAGAAGAGCAGCACCAGCTGCAAAGAGCTGTGCCTTTTACTGTTTACTTCACTGCGTTTCCCTTCATTAGAACCGCTGAATAGAGATCGAGGCTGCTACGTTTAACCACACACACATCGAACTACCAGATTATTCCCCCTCGTTTTATGAAGGAGATGTCCTGTCACCGGGGCGCATGATGTGTGTGTGTGTGTGTGTTTGTGCTCAGCTCGGCTCTGTGTGTGTGTCCGACAACACCGGCATTTGTTTTCAAATTACCACAAACAGTAATTTACACAAATCTGGTTCTCCATAGTTATATGTGTATTCCCAAGTGAAAGAAATGTGTTTAATCGTAATCTCGATGTAGTGCTATAGTCCTGCCGGAGTGCACCGGAACGAACGACACTATCATAAACACACACACACACACACACACACACACACACACACACACACACACACACACACACGCCCTGTCGACCGGACATATTCTTCATAAAACGAGGCCACGTGTTACCTTCTCGTGCACACGCTTTATTAACTCGTGCGCACGAGTTAATAAAGCGTGCGCACGAGAAGGTAACACGTGGCCACGTTTTATTTATTTTTCTCTCTATTAACCCTCCAGGGCTCCGTATTAATTCAGACATTTGAAGATACACTCTCATGTTGAGCTGATGAATATTTTATAACCAGTCAATCTCAACTGCTTACCTTTTTAAGAGATATTGCTGGCAGTATTATCAAAACATTGCTGCTAAAGCATCGCTACACTTTATATTACCTTATTCTGAACGTAAGAGGACATGCAGAGCATTTTGATTTGGCATTGTCTTGTCAATTTTCGCATGCATTTGAATTCTAGTGCAATGCTGACATTTACTGATTGACACTAAAGCCAGCGACAGTGTAGGGTAGGGCAAAGGGTTTAATATTCATTTGTACTGTGGGTCTGATAGTATCGGTTCAACACATACAAGCGGAAACAGTCCAGATAAAAAGAGATGAAAGGAGACAGTAGAAAGAAAAGACAGATTTGCTAAACATATGCAGGGCCTGGATGTTTGAAATGGAACATTTGCATTCTATGCGCTCTCTATAAGTTCAAAGTTTCCTGATGACTGCCTATCATCTGAATCTGAACAGAGGCTTAAGTGTTCTTAGAAATGTAAACATTTGAGTTTGATGTGTTTGCATTGGCTATCTCCCATTTTCTGGATACCATGCAGGCTGCCATAGGCGAAGCAAGTTTCCACTGAGAGGAAACGGATTGCTCATGGTGTCACTATTCTGGGTTAGAGGATAAAGCAAGAGCTGAGCCCCGAAAGTGGCAGCAGAGCTTGGCCATGTGCCCACATACACAAGCACACGTACGCACACTGGGAAGAAGATAGAGGGGCTATAAATACACAGAGTAATGAGAGTGTGGTGTCGCTGTCAGCCACATGCTGTCGCCCGTAGCCACGCCGTCTCCGTCTCCTGACTGTCGCATCTCAGTGTGCGCACAAAGACGCATAGACAACACGCAGATGTGATGGATTATTAACTAAGGAAGCCTTGTAATCAATGTGTTGGCCACTAAAGCTTTGAAAGTCTGTAAAATACTAAAAACAAAAAGAAATTGACTACTCCAGATATAAAGAAAATGTATTAATTAAGATATTGTTTGTCAGTTAAATAAGTCCCATTAATGTTTAACATCCATGTAATATAACATTTAACCTTGCTAATGCTAGACTTTATGAGGGGTAATGTCAAACCTCCCAAACATTTCCAAAATAAAATAGCCCAGAACTACTTAGAGAATGACACAAAATATCAGGTAAATATTCATAGTTCCATACCTCATGTTAAGTGTGTCCATTAAGAAAAAACGATGTTCTCCATTGAGTAAACTGATGATGAATATAACTATTTATTTTAATATGCTGTGGGTATAAATGGTAATAAGAGTTTTTGTTGACTCTAAATGTTCTCCTCTTGGACAGCTTTTAAAAGTGTAAAATAAAGAATGTTCCTCATTAGTGAGCCCATTGTAATCAAAGATGTAATAAACATACAAGATGTTATCATATTATCTTTTGTTAGGACTTTCAGAATTATTATTGACATATTATGTGAACACAAAAATGCCTGATCCTGATCATTTTGGGATTGTCACGTAGGCCATATGGTCATAATGAGTTATCAGCTCAAACGAATACCTTCCCTCAGAGCTTTGAGGTTGTTAAGTGCTCAACGGTTGTTGTGCTGCTTCTGAATTTATGTCAGCGTAGTGGTGTTTTTCATGTATGATTCATAATTGGATTTAGTTCCATGTACTTGAAAATATGGTACTAATGTAGAGCTGTTTGTTGTTTATTTTGGTCGAGCAAACATTAGTGATAAGCCTGATATATTTCTGGCATTGTTTATTAACCTCAGGAAAAAAAAAAGGATGCAACACCACTGCTAGTGGTTTATTCTAGGAATCTGGTAGCATTGTGATCCAATCAGTTTGAGATTATCAAGGTTCGACCAACCTCACAGCCTAAAAAAGCACAATCCCTGAAAAAAGGCTTGTTGTGTGTGTCCCCAGAGGGCACTTTGATTCCCTCTACCCTCCTGCCAGCTCACTTCATGCCTTGCTCTGCTCTCATTGATGTGAAAATCGTTTTACAGATACAGGAATATCAATGTGTGTGTCTGTGCGTGTGCCTGTCTGCTTGATCCACACACCTGCTCATTTGTTTTTAGTATGTGTTATTCTTGTGTGTTTGTTAGTATTTAATTGTAATGCTTTATACGTTGAACCTTCCGTCTGAACTGCATCTGAGCACCGGTGCAGGCGGAACACATCACCCGGATAAAAGGAACAGGAGGCTTTTTTATGTACACAGCATATTTAAATTGTATGAGCTTGTCATTATGCTTTGAGTTAGCTTTGGAAGGCTAATTGAAAATCTGGCTGAATACATGGTCTGCTTGCATATGATTGAGAGACAAACAAACGGACATAGAGAAATACATCTCCGAGAAGTGATTTCTGTTTTTGAGAGTGTCACTGTTTGACACTTTTTGATTGAGGAGACACAATTAGGGATGGATACACTTAATTCAATTAATCATAAACTGTAATATAAGCCATCAAATATTCGATGCAATTCCCGTCCGGCACCCCTCTTCCCTATTTCATACTGTGACTGTTTTATTATGTGATGATCTCAGGCTTCCTTGATAAAGATGTCTACGGAAATTATCACAAAAGCAAAAGATGAAGCCCCCAGAGAAAGATGTGGGTGGATGTGTGGGACTGCTGTATCAATTCCCTCGCGCTATCAATCTCCTCTTCCATGGCCTCGTTTTCACTGTGGAATATTACAGATTTACCATAAAACAACCAAATGTATCAGAATTCTAAAATCACTATAGGCTACAGCCCAGAGTGTCCTTAACTTACTACAGACAAAAGCCTGCGTATCCATGACAACGCTAAGATGGGATCCACTCTTAGCCATCGATTCCTCTCAGTCAGAGCTGAGAGCTGAGGGAGGAAGTGGAGATAAGGAGAGATTCAATTCAATTTGGTCTGAACGCCTGCTTGCCCCCTCATGGAGATGGAATAAGTAGGTTACACACTGAGCTACACAAGAGTGTAGCACAACAAGGATAAAGGGAAGGGCGAGAATAAATAATGTTGTCATGGTTAAGTCCCCTTTGGGTACCCAAATATGTAATGATCTCCGTTCTTTTCAAGTGCTTTCCCCCTTGAGGAATAGTCAATTATATTTGATAGAGAAAAACCAGCTCTCTAAAACAATGCCCACCCTATGCCTTCCCGGCCTAGTTAAATTCCAGCATTGACATATCATTTGACACATCCTACGAAGAGGAGCATGGCATCTGAGTCTTAGGAGATAGATCTGGTTAAAATGGGCAGTGAGATTGAGGGGAGCCCACACATGCTGTGCCTGAACACCTGTACAAGTGGAGGCTGTAGACTGAGTTTATAGCACCTGATGTTACCTTCATTCTGGGATTTCTATCCAAGTCATGTTCACCCAGCTCTTCTTAAATCAATAGCCTTTTCCTCCTGTGTTGTGTCAGACAGAAATAACCCTTTATTCTCTGCTGCGAGACACTTAGGTGATGCACCTCTGTCTCTGTCAGGAATACATTGTTTAGAGTTACCTGGAAAACAGACCTTTTCTAATATACCATTAAACATAACATAAGTGTTTTGAGAATATTTAGACATTATATGTTGCCAATGTTATATTTCCTCTACTGACATCCCAAGAATAGGCTGAGCTGAAATGTAAACCTTGCAAAAGTCTTGAGACTGGACTATACCTAAATAAAAAAATATATAGCCAAGCAATGTTTCCTTTGACCGTCTTTCCAATTTCCCCCCAAAAACACCAACAAATCTTCACAACGCACATATACTCTTCATCGCCTTTGATCCCTGAACCAAACTATGTTCCCTGGGCTGTTTTTAGTCAGCCGAGCTGTTTTTTGGTACACAGAGTTGTAGTTGCAGGAAGAAAAAAAGTAACATTTTCTCCGATAAATATTTACCCTTTCTTCCCCCATGAAAATCACGTCAGTAACATCATTTTTTAAACCATAGAGCAAATATCTGCTTGTGCGTCACCTTATAATTGAATACAAAATATTTTTTCTATCAGGAATTGCCTAAAAATAATTACAAATCTCTTCTGGTCTTTATTATTTAATCTGTTTTATTTCACAGCTGGGAGCAGCAGATGTTATTTTCTTATACCACCGTTCCATCAGTGCGTGGTTTCCTTAACTGAACTCTCAATGGTGGTGAGACATTTTACAAGGGAAGGTGGATTTCAGTTCTGTCCCGGTGTCTTTGTGTAGGTGGAGGAGGTGGTGGATGTTGGGACCTTTGCTGAAGAGGACATCCACATACCTAGCATCTATGTCCACAGGGTGGTCCACGGAACCGGCTACGAGAAAAGGATTGAGGTACAAAAGAAGACTTTGCAAAGCAGTGTTGAATGAAAAGACTATGTACATATCAAAATGATTCAGTCATGTGTAGCATTCGTCACTTTCTTGAAAATCCAGTTCAATACAATTGGCTACATTAATTAAAAAGGATAAATGATTGATGCTATAACGTGAAGTTCAAATTATTTTAGCAGGGTTTTATATTACCATCATTGTTCAGAAACACACAAACCAGCTCTTATCTGTGTGTGTCCTTGTACCTGGCCAGAAATATCCTCTCAACATGCTGTCTCCCTGTTCCTCATATATTTCCGGATGCTTCCAGAAACGCACAGTACAGAAAAGTCAAGACGAGAAGCCCAAACCAAAGAAGGACTCGGACATTGTTCGGGAAAGGATCATTCGACGGGCTGCACTGGAGTTCGAGGATGGAATGTATGGTATCCTTTAAAAAGAATACATATAAACAAATGACCACGAATAAAACCAATCCAGGTGTAAGTAATAAATATGTGCTGCCCAATTGTAATTACTCAGTAAATACTTGTTTGCTCTTCACAAGGTTGATTACAATGGCAAATTATGCACGTTCTTTTTTTTCCAAGAATTTCACATTTCCATATTAATTGAATAGCATTCCTCCTTATGAACACAGTCTTTTAATTGTATTAATAATACCCTTTTATTTAAGCAGTTTTGGTAACTTGTATCTATTACAACTTAATAGTTTTATAGATTTGAGAATTGTCCACACAACTAAATCTTTTAGTTATTTACATGATGTGGGATGTGGAGTGATGGGTAGATTATGTTGAAGCAGCAACATTCAATCAATCCTCTATATTTTTCTCTTGATCTCTATACCTGCTTTCCATTTCAGAATTACGAATGTAATAGTCACTATCTTTAACAGAGTTAATCAGCAAACCTTGGTATTGGTATCCCCATGCTGGCCAGCAACTTTATAAAACCAGACATCACAGTGAACCTTCAAAGTGAAAATGGGATTTTGGGACTGGTAAGACGCCTACAGAGAGCTTTGTTCCCCCTCAGGCTTCAGTGCTTTCAATCTCAAAGCCCACGAGCAGCATATTTTCTGTCCTGTGTGTAGACTGTTGTTTTAAGCGGCAGAAACCTTTTAGAACTGAATTGTTCTCTGAGCATGTAGCAGGATGAATAGTCACTAATTTGAGCGATATCATTCCTAGTTTTGCCCCTTGAGCTAGTGCTGGGTTTGTTATGTAACTGATTGTGCTGGTTTGACTCTTTCTCTTCCATTTTTCTTTCGCACAATCATTATTTGCTGGCTGAGCTTTCAACAAAAGCTGCTGCTGCTGCTGCTGCTGCTGCTACGGAATGACTTTCAAATCAGTTGTGTTGACAGGAGAATGTAGGCGCCTATGCTAATGCCTTATTTGTCAAAGATTCTTTGAATTATGAGTGCCAGTTTTAAAAGAGATTCTGCTCTCCTTTCCTCTACACCCAAATGTTTTGGTCTCTTTATTGAGCACAGGGAATGTCAATGTCTCATCAAATCACTAAAATGTGATTGTGTCTGTCTCTCCCCTGAAAGATCTTGGTCAGTGAGGCTGAGTGACGTGTGAGTGTATGTGTGACCTGTGCACACACTCTTTATCTTATTCTCTTTTTGTATAGGGCCCATATCCCACTGAGGATGCCGTGGATGCAGACCTGATTAATGCCGGTGAGAGTTAACCTTCCTAAATACTTCCCAATAATAAATGTATGTTTATGTAAAATATGTATATTAATCTTTGGAATCATTGGTTAAATTATGAATTGATTAAGAGAGCTTTTCAGCTAAAATGTGAATCTGTATTTTTTTTTTTCTGACTCTTCTGCATTAAAGACAATCATACTTGGATCAATGCTTAATACAAAGGAGTCTTTGTAAAGATCAATAGTTTTTTTCAGATGCACTTTTAAAGTGATATTAGCATATTGTTGTCATCTGACACCCCTCCAGTTCCAATCAATAATTAATGGATAATGCACAGTCTCTTTAATTTTTTATTTATTTATCTTGCTGTATATTTAACTTTATTTTGTAGTTAAATGTACTGTCTTTGTGATTATGGTTGTTTTTGTTTGCTTCTATATGAGTGGGTTTTAAACTTCGACATATTTCATTTTGCCAACAAAACCTCTCAAAGATATCTCTTTGTTCTGCAGGGAAGGAGACGGTCACCGTGCTGCCAGGGGCCGCGTATTTCTCCAGTGATGAGTCATTTGCCATGATCCGAGGGTAGGCCATAACTAATAAGCTTCAAAAACGTATTTATTCTCTCAAAAGTAGATGACATTTATGGATTAACATATAGACAGCGTATTAATACTTAAACGTATTTGACTATGACGTTTGTGGTGCAGTTTTATTGAAAACATTTTAAACAAATGCACTCTTATAATTTCTCATACATTTCCATAATTCAATAGTTTATCACATGCACAATATGCAAGCTATAGCCAATGGATTTGGCTACGGGCAGTAGCCACAATTTGCCACACTGGATTCAACAACTAGGTGTGTGTCACCCAGTGCACCTAGACAGCAGCCTTGCTAATATTCCCATGGTCCCTGGTTCTTATTGATTTGCCAGCTGTCTGAGTATGCCCACCCGCACACATCAGTTCTGTTTGTCCGCCCAGTGGAAATCCAATATTGCTCATAAATAGCGCTGTTCAGTCACACTGGCGGGGACCAATTGCGCGTGAGCGTGTGTGTGCACTTGTCTGCTTTTGTGCAAACACACAGTTAAGAGTCCTGAGTAGCTAAGACAACGTGGTATAGACATCTACTTCTGTTACTTCTCATTAGTGAATAACATCAGGACCTGTACGTCTTTATAAATACCTTATTCACTTATTTGTCTTTGTTTGTGTTTGTCTAACCTCAACCCCTGCTATGTGCGGCCACATGCATTTGAGAAACAATAATTCATTTACTGCAGGCAGCAGCGTCGTATATCCCAGTTTTAATCAATGCAAGCTACCTAACGCTGCTGTCTCCTGCTCTAGAGGCATTGTTGGATACCTCACTTTTAATATTTAGAAGTAACAGGAAAAGGCATCTTATAAGAAAGATTAAATAACCAGCTTACCTTCAGAATCAGACATTAATTTGTTCTGCTTATAGTATGTACTGTATAATGACATTACATGTGGCAGCTGGACCAGATAAGACCTTAGCAACAAGCAGAGACGAAATGTGCAAAAATACAAATTATATATATTTGAAACAAAGTGGTGGTAAATAGAAAAGATACAGCAGATAGTAAAATAAAACCAGGTCACCTGCTTTTTTAAGGAATGCAAGTACAATCAAGATAACAGCAGATATGGGATGATCTCTATTATAGTGAAGAAGTTTATTATTTAAAAAAATCTATCATATCAAGTATTTGTGTTGTGTGTCCTGTCACAAATCAATGGAGGCACATGCATGTGTTCATTAGTTGAAGTGATTCAGAAGTTGACAGCTGTCTTCTTCTGTTGTGTCTTTCTCTTCAGGGGTCACATCAACCTGACAATGCTGGGAGCCATGCAGGTGTCAAAACATGGAGACCTAGCCAACTGGATGATCCCAGTAAGTGTGGTTTTGATGATGATTTTCACGACCTTTCTCCAAATTCATGCTATCTGCTCATTCTGGTAGGGGTCAACCCCTTTTTATAACATAACATTGGTCAAAAGTAACCACATTTTTCCAAGAGCCGAAATGACTGGTTTTGTTTGGCCATCAGTCCAAACATATATTCAGTTTTGGTGGTTTTATTGTTTATGTTTTAAAAGTTAAGACCTTAAGGCGACACATCATGAAAAACACTTTTTGTTGGTGCTTCCAAAATGTAAATATAATCCTGAAACTGACCCCTTTTAATTGTAACCTCTTCAGTTGACTTCAGCATTAAGCATTTTTCACAATAGGCGATGTATTTGATAGTCACTAAAGTGCGGGTTTGGTTATTGTTATTTAAGAGCACACTGTCAGGAGATGAAGCGGTGGAAGTTCTTTGTGAGAGCCACAATATAATGGATGGCTGACATTATTTCTAGACGTTTCATAAGGTCAATTGGTCTTAAGACCACAGTGGCCTCAGTGATTACTAAGGTCAAGAACCCATTTAAAAGACTGTTCACAATGTGGGAGGGCTCAACCAGAAATGCCCCATGGCACACAGTGGTTTTCTGCTTGACTGAAGTGTACTAGCACTGCTGCCTTAGCTGGTGCATCCTTTTCTAGCTCTGTCTCATCTAAACAGCCCAGAGTGTTGAAGATGATTTGATGCAGAGACATTGAGTACAATACATATATATTCAAATTAGGGCCGGGACTCGATTAAAAAAATTAATCTAATTAATTAGAGGCTTTGTAATTAATTAATCGAAATTAATCGCATTTTTAATCACTAATTTTAGTACCATCTCTTTTTGGTGTGAACGCGATAAAAGAACGTCCACGCTAGCTTCCACGCTAGCTGCTATATGTTTTGCATTGAGGTGATACTTGAGGCTTGATGTGCTGCGGTGATATGCGAATTCCTTTTTGCATAATTTGCACACAACCGTGCTCTTATCGACGCTTCCATCCGTCCGTTGGGAAACAACATTTCCCACTGTTGTTCACTGTGGTTTGTTGTTGTCTGAAGTCATGAACGTTAGTTGGTGCTCCAGTATAATCGGTACGCCTGAAACTCATCCAGTGAGAAACGTTCCGCGGTGCAAAAATAAGTGCGATTAAAATGCGTTAATTTTTTTAACGCGTTAATTTTTGTGTAATTAATTAATCTTAATTAACGCGTTAAAGTCCCGGCCCTAATTCAAATGTGATATATGCGAGTCTGCACAACAACACTGTTGTTGATGGTGACCTCTAAAATGTGCAAAGTAATTTATTTTCTCTTTGCAGCTCCAGTTGTACTTGTCTGTCCATGGTAATTGCTTATTAAGCAGTGCTTGATTAAACGTGTTGTGCATTATTGAATGCCTGCGATAGAGCTGTTATTCAGCTGCAGGGATTGTATCTTGTTTGGGTATTTGAGTGTTGGACAGTTTGAACAGTGAAACAATGCAGCAACACAGACACTTATACCTCTGTCCTCACCTACCTATTCAATCTTCATTATCCCCTCTTTTAAATGGATTGATGAAGAGAATTACATTTCCCACCTTCTAGGATAATGGAAATTATTCACTATCTAAGATGGGTACATAGCGTGAAATTGAAAATGTTTTACGTAGGAGTCTGGGACGCAGTACTCTCAGCGTGATTATGTTGATTTTGAACGCTTTAAATATGCAAAATGCAGATGGAACATTTTCCAGTTGAGGGCTTTGAAATGCTTTTACATCTCTTCTCAGCCATAAGCATCTTGAAAAACAATGAATGGGGAAAGAAAGGGGTAATAGAAAAAAGGAGGGCATTTTGGACTGGGTGTACTATTTTATGATTGAGCTGATGGAGCTTTATCAATCTGTCCTCAACATAGGGATCTTGCAGACACTGTTTCCTATCATAAGTACCTCCCCACAGATTTCTAACAGTCAGCAATACACCGTCTTTGTGAACTAGATTTTAGTTAAATAGATGTTGGATGCCTGAGCAGTTATCTTGCTCCTTTAAATCTTTGTAGTGAATAAAGAAACACTGAAGTTACTCAAATGTACCTGTTTTTGTATACTAAATATTCAGTTTTGGTTATAACATGTATGTGAATGTCTACGGAAACACCGTATTCACCAGCTTTATGCTATAAATAGTTATGAATTCCGATTTCTTTAACAAGGTGTCCATTGTCCTTTCATTAAGTCCCACATCTCCCTCTGATTGATGTCATTAGTTGTCTGGGTAATGAAGGCTTGTGGCTGTCCATCGCTATGTTATTAAATAGAGAACTATTGGTATCAGACAGCGGAGACACTCAGATAATTTGTGGGTGAGAGAGAGGAAGCCAGTTGGTAAGTGGGAACTCTTGGATAGGGAAAGGGGTCATTTTCTTTGGTGTTTGTGGCGCTGACTGAAAAGTGTACACTTGCACAGAGTATGAGGAAATCCAATTATGTTGTCATGGTAACACAGAAAATGCAAGCCACCCCATAAGCCTAGCATGACAAACACAGTGCTAGTCAAAGCATGTTTCCTGTGAAGGTTTTCCCACAGTCCCACAGTATGTCACAAAAAAAAATCCTTTGAACACAATTTATTTTTTACTGAGCATTAATTATTCTTATTATATTAAAAAAAAGGCTACATCTGCCTTCCTTGACAGATGCACAAACAGTGTTGTTTTAGGAACTTACAGTATGAAAGCATTTGACTCTTATACAGACTATGTTTATACTGCAGTTTCATCATTCTTCCATGCTAACTATTATTAAATGTGGTATATGCCTTTTATCTATAAATAGCCTAAGCGGAGGTAGTCACAGAGCAATCCAACGTCTAGGTAAAAGGGACAGTCTGCACAGTGAGAATACACATAGACTCAGGGAGTGGGTAGGCATCTCAGGATCTGCCCTCCAGTGGTTTGCCTCGTACCTCAGTGGGAGAAGTTTCTCCGTGGCGGTGGGCCTGTTCTCATCACATAGCACTCCCCTATCCTGCGACCTGCCCCAGGGTTCTGTTTTAGCCCCCCTTCTTTTTGCCCTGTACATGCTCCCATTGGGCCGCTTAATTAGCCAATTTGAGGGTGTTGTATCACTGCTACGCAGAGGATATCCAGATATACTTCTCCTTCAAACTTGTCAAAATGGAAAAAGTAAACACCCTGATCACATGTCTGTCTGCAATTGAGGAGTGGATGTCAAGCAACTTCCTACAGCTCGATGCATCGAAAACGGAAGTCTTGATCTTAGCGGCTGATAGCATCGCCTCTAAGGTAGCAAGCCACCTGGGTTCATTTAGTGGTAACATAAGGGCAAACATAAAAAACCTTGGTATAACTTTCGATCAGTCTATGCTACTAGACAAACACATAAAACTTCTGACCCGTACCTGTTTTTTCCATCTCAGGAACATTGCCAAGCTCAGGGGGGTTCTATCCAACGCAGAAATGGAGATGGCTATCCATGCTTTTATTTCATCCCGGCTTGATTATTGCAATGCTCTTTTTTCCTGCCTCAACAAACATCAATAAACCGGTTACAACAGGTCCAAAATGCTGCAGCCAGATTGCTCACTCGGTCCAAAAAAACATGCCACATCACTCCGATCCTTTCTGCCCTGCACTGGCCCCCTGTCCATCTCAGAACCCAATTCAAAGTATTGGTCTTCACAGAGCTGTCCATGGCCAAGCACTAGTGTTAATTTCGTCAGCTATTTTTTTATTTAGTTTTAGTCTTAGTCCTGTGTTAAATTTTCTTTTTAGTTTTAGTCATATTTAGTCACCTTCATCCTGTTTTTATTTAGTCAAGTTTTAGTCGACTAAAAGTCTGAGCATTTTAGTCTTATTTTAGTCAAAGAAAACTAATTATTTTAGTCTACTTTTTGTCAATGAAAACTGTTGAGTCTTTTTTAGTGATCAGATTAACATTTCAGTCAAACTAGTCTAGCCAAAACCAATAATTTGTCATTTTAGTATGTATAAATAAATAAGATTATATCTTGTCCTTATTTGATGAAAAACACAGGTTGAATGATTAAGAAGCTTTGCAGAGAGTATCTGGTCAGGTTTGTGGTGTTTTTACCAGCTGTGTTATGGCCACATTGCTTACCTTCTGATGAAACAATGCATTCGCTTTTTTCCCTCCGCCTCATTGTAGCGAAAATGGGCCCAAATATCACATTGTTTCTTTCTCCCAAGCAGTGGTGGCTTTAGACTTTTTCGTTGTCAGTCATTTTGACGGACAGGATCGTAACATTTCCGTCATAATCCATTATTATCCGTCGAGTGCACAATTTATCACTCACTCGCGCTGACGGGGGGGTATTCGGTTAACGCGAGTGCGACCACTGCTCACAAGCCCTGTTCTTGCCATTGTTAAAAGTTAGACCATGAGTTAGACCCGAGTCTTCCTGACAGTTCACAGTGTGCCGCTGCCCGGTGTAATTCAAATCTACCGCCGCGCGCAGCACAGACACACACAGCTGCTGCCCTGCCGCAGCACCGGAAATGGAACTGCTGGGAGAAAAACTGACTATCAGAGATGTAACGTTATCTTTGATAATATTTAGTCTCCTCATTTTTCGTCAACGAAAGTAAAGGGAGATTTTGGCATAGTTTTTATTTAGTAAACTACATTTTCGTCTCGTCACTTTTCGTCAACGATATTGCATGATGATTTCGTTACAGTTATTGTTTACTGCCGTCGGTGCCGTCTCGTCATAGTCTCGTTTTCGTCATGGAAAAAAAGGTCGTTGACGAACATATTTCGTCATAGTTTTAGTCAACGAAATTAACACTACCAAGCACCAGCCTACATTAACGACCTTATCCACCATCATATCACAAACCGGGCCCTGAGGTCCTCTGAGCAAGGCCTCCTAAGGGTGCCCCGAACAAGGCTAAAGACTAAGGGTGACCGGGCCTTTGAGGCGGTGGCCCCAAGGCTTTGGAACAAATTCCCCCAGATAATAAAAACCTCTGC